TATAATTTTATATATATATATATATATATATATATATATATATATATATATATATATATATATTTCATATCGCAGCCTCTTGCGATTAACTGATCGAAATGTTTCAAATTGCTCTTGCGATTCGATCAATCATACAGCCCTATAATAGATATTAAAAAAAGTGTCTTACTGACAATAAATGTTCCTATTTTCAGGTGGACTTCAGTAAACATTGGGCTATAGCTGAATGAGTTTCCAGACACAGCATCATACGGTCAAATGACTGGAAGACTTGTTTCTGTGGTCTTTAAACTGTTCTGGCTTTAACTAAAGGACGCGAGTCTGGCGTGAGTGTTTTGCTTGTATTCGTAATCTAATCATGACAACACTATATCGTTAGAAAGCTCTTCTGAATACATATTTTACCATTTATCTTTTTTTTTTTGTTATGTAGGAAGAGTAATAGATTAAAACACAATTACTGTCAGTCTATATCCTGTGGGAGCATTTACGGTTACATTCGTAAACCATAAATATTATAGTCTAAACATAAAGCTGTCATGACTAACTAAAGCCTAATATTTTAAGTTTCAATATCTGTGACTGATATTCGACAGATATCACTGAGCATCAGTTATTATTCCTTAATTAGGATCCTCGTCATAGTCGTAATGCATTACTTCGCTACAGCAATCCACGTGTAAACATGTTTTTAGAGGCTAAATTCAAACCAGATACCACCAATCTACCCAAACTACTGTAGGATTTTGTCTACTTAACAAACATTGCAATAAAAGTATGAAAAAATAGAGTTCCTATACATCAAACATACATAAATAGAGGGCGCCCTTGTAATATTAATACACCGACTAAAGGCTCATATCAGCCCATAATACCAATATATTGGTCAGACTCTACAACAGGTTTCCCAAAGCGCCGTAATGCTGTGTTCACACCAGACGCGGATGAAGCACCAAGTGCGAGTGATTTACATGTTAAGTCAATGCAAAGATGCGAATAGACATCCTGCGTCGCGATTCGAGTGAATGTAGCAGTGCGAGTTGATCGTTTTGCACGTTTTGCAGGAATTGCTCAAGTTGGAAATGTCTGAACTTCACCAGACATTTGCATCGCATTAACCAATCATGAGCTTGCTCTTGTAGGGGCGTGATTATGACGTAGTGCCTGTTGTTGGTGTCCCGAGGGGAAATCCTCTTGCCGACACCGGACAACAGCTCATCAAACAAAGTCAGAAGCGCCACTGAAAGCCTCCATCATCCAGGTACAGTTTCTGGAGGAGTTGCTGAACTCGGACATGGCGCCAAACAAATTTACGCAGTTTTTCAGCCTTCCTAAAACACATAAAGCACAGCTACTATCTCAATAACATCCATGTTAGCCATTTAGCAACGAAGCTAGAATCATCAGGCAGACAGAAGCGAATCAATTATGTGAATCGATTGAAGCATCTATTGTGAAGTAAATTTGATGCGGGAATGAAGCGAGTACACTGTTCACGTGTATATTTACGTGTGAATAGCGCAATTAATTTGCGCGCGCCGCCTGAGGTTGGAACCAGTGCCTAATTTGTGAATTGCGAGGTCCTGGAACAGATCGGGGTAACAGACCTGGCATGTTACCCGAGGATGGAAAGGTGTCGCACACAAAATTGGAGAGCTGCAGTGGGTTAGGCGTTGGATGGCGGAGAGGTGTCACGGACGAAAGATGAAAGTGAAGACCAGGGGGTTCTCGCGGATGAAAATAAAAGTGAACAGCGGACAGGAAAGAAGGGCGGCTGAGGAGGGGATCAGTAAAATGAGGTGCTGGATCCAGCGTTCCGGCACAAATCAAGCCCTGGTGTGAACACAGCCTAACTCTCCAGTGAGTTCACTTTGAGGTCTTGAGTCTGGAGTGAATCCTCATGTGTAAACTGAGCTTTTTCTTGGAGGTGAAGCATTTCCTGCAGTGAGCGCAGGCGTGCGGTTTCTCCCCTTCGTGGATCCGCATGTGCCCCTTCAGGCTGCCTTTACGGCTGAACGTGCGTCCACACTGCTTGCAGACGGCGGCGCTCTCTCTAGTGTGTGCACGTTCATGTGTCCGGCAAGCGCCCCCTTCAGCCTGAACCTGCTCCCGCACTGAGCGCAGGCGTACGGCTTCTCCCCGCTGTGGATAAGCATGTGCGTCGTCAGCTTCCCCTGATGCTCGAAGCCCTTCCCGCACTCTTGACAGCAGAATCGCATCTCTCCGGTGTGGGTTTTAATGTGTACTTTATAGTTGGTGGGCTGGATGAAGCCCTTCCCGCAGTACGGGCACCTGTAGGGCTTCTCTCCGGTGTGGATTTTGGTGTGGTTTCTAAGCGTGGTTTTTTTGGCGAAGGTCTTCCCGCAGTGCTGGCAGCCGAACGGCCGCGCTCCGGTGTGAACTCGGACGTGCTCCAGGAGGTTTGCGGACCTACTAAAAGTTTTTCCGCACGTTTTGCACGTCTTAGACCTGTCCGCAGTGTGGACTTTTAAGTGGACCATGAAGGCGTTTTTCTGGGTGAAGTGTCTCCCGCAGTGCTGGCAGGTGAAGGACATGCCCTCCACGTGAGCGCGCAGGTGGATCTGGAGGTGGGACTTCTGCGTGAAACTCTTGTCGCAGAGTTTGCAGCTGAAGGGTTTCTCTCCGGTGTGGATGCGTATGTGCGCCTGGAGGTTCCCGTTCTGACTGAACTCTTTCCCGCAGTGTTGGCAGATGTAGCGGATGAAGTTGTACGGCTTCAGCTTGTACGGGCCTCTGCGCTTGTAAGGCTGGGGGTAGTAGGCCACTTTTTCTTCGCTCGCGCTATGTTTGTCGTTTTGATTTTTCTCTTGCGCTACAGTCACCGCTTCACACTCTTCCTTTAGGCCTGTTAGGTGGACTGGAGCAGCTGAAACGACATACAGTAGAAGTCAGAATTATTCCGGTAAATGTTTTTGTCAAATATTTCCCAAATGATGTTGAACAGGTTGAGGAAATGTTCACAGTATTTCCTCTAATATTTGTTCTTCTGGAGAAAGTCTTATTTGTTTTATTTGGGCTAGAATAAAAGCAGTTTTTAATTGTTTTAAAGCCATTTTAAGGTCAATATTATTCGCTTCTTCAGCAATATTAGTGTTGGATTGTCTCCAGAACAAACCACTGTTATACAATCACTTGCCTAATTACCCTAACTTTACCTTGATTACACTAGTGATGCCTTTAAATTAATACTAATAATTTAGGGGGGGCTAATAATTGTGACTTCAACTGTATATATATATATATTTTCAATCATACTAAAATAATCCGTGACAGAAGTTCACTCAAAAGTTAAAGTTCTTTCTGTCTTTAATTACTAACACTCCCATCATTCCTGCTACTTTCAGAACATAAATTTAGATGTTTTACCATATGAAAATGCAATAAAATTATGAAAATTGTGAAATTAAAGGCAATAGTGCAAAGATCTGGACCCCGCGACAGGTCAGGGTGCGCCAGTGGCCTTTAAAACGCGCACGCGGAGGCGCACTGAACTCACACGGGAAAGAACTGGACATTCACTTCATGTTTAAGTTAGCTAATTCTTTAAATACAACTGTCTCTAAAAGGAAAAAAATGCAAAAGAAATTTGTCTTTAAATTAATTTTAGCAGAGACGCAACTGCCTCTCATTTTCGCATTCATTTGGTCTATAAGAGTAACCTACTAAAAATATTTTGTCACAAAAATATGCAATACAAAACTCTAAACATTTATGTTTTTTGAAATAAAATGTAAAGAAATAAGATGTAAATATAATTTAAACCACTGGTCTGGTGCTGATACTTTATTGTTTGTAGCGAGAAGGAAAAAAAACAGATGAAAACCTGGCTGGGGAGACGGCGATGACATTGATTATCTGTTCTTCAGCAAAGATCACGACATCATTGTGAAGGCGTTTATCATACAACGCAGTTCGTGTTTATGATCATCAATATTAACTAATATCAATTGCATAT